TACTGAAACCAGGTAAACAAACAAAATACCACAGATTCTGTACCTGTCCATGCTCAAACTGTGTAGAAAATGAAAACAGTTTGAGGAGGAGTGCAGTGCAAATAACTCATGTCCATTAAATGTAAAACAGCTGTAAAACAGCTTAAACAGGGGGTTAGCATATTATACACACCATCAGGAAGTTTGTGGGGTTTACACAGGCTTGTATTTGGGATGTAATTCTGGAATAACAGTTAGAACATAATTTCTTAAATCCTCTGGTTTGTCAGCATTCCTTGGTAGAAGGGTTTACCTTTTTAAAAATGGTTACTTTTGTACTTCCTCCTTGAATCCAAGGAAAAACAACACTTAAGGAAGCCAAATTAACTCCACACACACAAACCAGTAGCTGAAGATGATATGTAGGGTAAGGAGGCCTTCATGTACTGCCTGTTGAAGATGCTGATGCTTGGTCTAGTCATTTAGGAAATTTTGTTAATACAGCAGGCTCAGAGGTGGACAAAGGCTTAGATTTGCTGTGGCTGCTTGTGTGTAATCTAGCCTGAAAGATGCTGCTTCTAAGCCATACCTGCATTATGTAAACACAACTGCTTGTGTGCATCTCAAAATTTGTAAGTCCCTAGTTTTGATCTTACAGTGGTGAAAACAGATTTCATTGCCTTTTTGCAATCCTTGCAATAAAAGCAAGGCTTCAAGTTAAACCCTGGAAAGCATTATTGTGAGGTGAGATGGGAAAGCAGCTTGTGGGGACGTCTTTTATCACACCAGCACCTGCAGTGTCTGAGGGTATTAATTTAAAATTATCAACCAGTTGAGTTTGTATCCCATTAAAAACTTAAAGTAAAATCATTTATTGTTCCTAATTAAAAAAGAAAAAAAAGAAGACCAGAAAAAATATTAAACAAAACTGATCCCCACATCCACAAAAAACATCTGTTTTCATGTGGAAAGCCAGTTTCCTAGTAGGCATTTGTCAGGGACTAAGGCTGCTGGAGGAAAGCAGTATTACATAAATTGGATGTGCAGTTCTGAGCTAAATAAATTTTTAAATATTTTGCATAAATTAGGGGCATTAAATTATGCATAATGTGCATAATTTCATCCTTTTGTAAATGATGTTCCCACAGTTAGTGATTAAAGAACATGGTGCAGCCCCTCGAGTTGGAACAATTAGACCTTCCACAGCTCTGTCTATTGATAGATATTCCTTAAGCTCAGCCAGGGGACAGAAGCGTGTGCTAGCACTTGGCTATGATCTGCTCCCTGTTTTTGATGACTTAAGAGGGCTGTTCAGGACAGAGTATCAGCCTATATGAACACTATCAACCAGCTTGAACAAGTCAGATTATTTAATTAGCCCTATTAAGATCCTTCTATTTTTATAACTTATTTATGAGTTCTTGCTAAGCTTAGAAGGTCCAGCCACAGATATCAAAAAGATGTTTGCAGCTCATGTTGTTAATCTTGGTGGGTTTTATACTGTGACTCCATTAAATTTTCATCCTAAGAAAACAAAAAGGGGCTGTGAAAAGCAGTTGAAGTTGGGAAATTCACATCTGCAGACCTGACCTGCAGGTTTCAGGCACAGAGCATTTTTGATGTCCATGCATGGACATTTGCTTGGTTGCCAAAATATGTATTGTATTCCTTTGCCCTAGACCATCAAAAGTCCAGAGAGTGTTTATTTAGCACCCATTTGAAGTGTCTTGGTTTCCCCCAGGGGAGAAATGTTCTTCAGGCATCACTTAAAGACTACCATGCTCTGAGTATCTTAGTTGATATCCTGTGCTGAGAATACAAGGTGATACTTGTTTTGAGCCTCTGCTTTGCCACCCTTTTACTGAGATTCATGTTCAGCTTTTTTCTAGATTTTTTGGGAGAAGCAGGCAATGATTTGATGAAAGAGTTATTAAATCAAACATTCATGTTTACCAGAAAAAGACTTTTAAAGCAATTGTGTCCAGAATTTAATACTTTTACCATGGCTGTACCTTCAGAGCGTTTGAAAGGGCTTAATTTCATCACAAGGGTGGGACTCTTATCTACCACCCCAAAATTAAATTCATCTGCAAAGAAAAAAAAAAAGTAGAATTCTGATGTCTGAATTCAGTCAATGAGCTTTTTCTCTCTAATGGAACCACTTTGGGCTAGTTTGGAAGATGAAAACTCCTTAGGTAGGGAGTAACTTCATGATTTGAAAAAAAAATCACTGATGGTTAAGTGCTGGCTTGTGGCTTGAAGCTCTGCCTGTTCTGGTATCAGTAAAGAAACAGTTAATTAAACAAAGATCAGTCCCTAGGTGATGCTGAAACCATATATGGATTTGGAAGTAAGGTTAAGGCATTTTGAAAGTGGAGAGTACCCATGTAAATTATGGTTCTGTCCAAAACTATCTCAAACAAGTGTGGTTTGGATAAATTGATGCAGATGGCATCTGCCAGCTCACTTCTGAAGATCTTAACCAACTTTAGCTGCAGGTGAATGTACAAAATTTTATCCTCTTAGCAGGGAAGTCTGTATATATGCTTTAGTGCATTATGTCATCAGTAAATTATTTTAATAGCGAGTAAGCCTTTATTACTTTTGCTCTTGCTTTATTGCATTTGCTGCTCTACATTCAATATGTACAGCATTGGCACAAGATAGCTTGCATGCTCACTAGTGCATTAGCAGGAGAGATGGAAATTGTGTTCCAAGACCATAATACTTTGAATTTGGTACTTTGTTAAAGCCAGAAGAAAAAAAAAACAATCAAAAAACCCCAACAGTTGCTGCACATCAGGCTCTGGTAGAAAGCTAGGAAATAACAGCTTATAAATGAAGCAAGTTTCTCACAGAATCATAGAATGTACTGAGTTCAAAGGACCCATCAGGATCACTGAGTCCAGCTCCTGGCTCAAGTTCTGGAAGGTGCCAAGATGAGACAAAATTAACACTGTTTCCAAAGTACCAGGGTGTTTTTGGAGACAGCTTTCAGGTTAAAACAGAACTGCGGGCAATTCAGGATAGCAATATAAATGTAAAAAGGGACAATGATAAAGAATGTAAAAGATAGTTAGCATAGTATTTGAATATGGAGAGTACTGATCAAGTGAACTCTGCACATGGGTTTAGGCAACACTGAAAAAAGTCCCACCCCTTGCTCCACAATTAAATATTGAATAGTACACAGAAATAACATGGAATTTGAAAATTGAGATCAATTTAATGTGGTTTAATGTTATTTGATCAACATGTTGAATAAAGTGCCTACTGCAGTAATCTGCTTTGCCTGCATATATACCTGTCTAGCTGAAGGGATTTATGATGCTGCTGGGGAGCATTGCATGCAGCAACTGCAGCACTAGGATAAGCACAGTCTTGAAGAGATTGGCCTGACATGGAGAGGAACAGAACTTTGTATAAATAGCCAAAGGAAGAAACACACAGTTTAGTTTGAAAGCAATCTTTCACTTGCCAAATTAATTTTAACATCATGTGTGTGGAGTAAAGGTTTCTGTAGAACCCGAGGAAGGTCTTGTACACTCGTGTGCCATTTTTTGCACTGACATCACATTTGGTAAGAGGACACCAGCTCTCCTGCAAGCCTGACCTGGTTGCCTGAGGAAGACAGAGCCCTGTCCAGGTTTTCACTCTTGCTGGTGGAAAGGTGAAGTAGGAACAACTGGGTTGATTTACTGAAGTTGCTTTGGATTTGTACCCTACTGCCTCACAGGCAAAAATGTCACATAAAAAGCCATTTTATTTAAGACTGTCATACAATTTTCTCTTCAAATGCCAACTTTTTTATACCCTTATGACCTTGTGTGGCATCACTGGAGTTGGTACATACCATTACCAGGCACTTCTAGCTTAGGTGCCTCAGAAGGCAAAGTACTCACTGAGTGTTGTTTTACCCTTTTCACAACATAAATTTGGAGCCAACTGAGACAGAGGTTTTCAAATAGCTTGAAAATCCAACAAAACCTGTTTAATTTTGTAACTGGAGAACTTCTGGCAAAGAACTAGGCTCTCTTGCCAGTGACCCAGCCATTTCATGGGCTCAGATATCAGGGATGCCCCTGTGTGAGTGTAGACAAGGAACGGGTCTGTCCAGTCCCTCTGTGTCATTTTCCTTCCCTGCTCATTGCTTGGGAAGCTTTTTGCACATGAGGCTTCACATGCTCAGTCTTGGCCTTCTTGCCTTTCCCTAGATTGGCACCTGATGGGACAACAGAGCAAAAGAGTCTTGTTTGGTGCATTGCACTGAGCTGAGTGTTACACTCCCCTTTCCAGGGATCCATTCAGTGCTCCATGCAAAGGAGACATGGTTTGTACAAGGTCAGTAAGGAAGCACAGTGCTGCATGCCTCCACTGCTCAGGAAACTGCAGGAGACATTTCTGAAAGTGGTGTCTCAGCAGTTCCATGGTACAGGGAGTTTGGAAAGGAACTTCCCTAAGCACATCTGGAAAATGAGGATGAAAAAAAATGTGTGTCACTGGAAATTTTGGGTCTGTGCAGTTTGATAGATCCCTGGTAGGAGATTCATTTGAAGGCTGATTACTGAAACTGTTAGTCTCAGTGTTGGTCACTCTTTCTTCATCTCTCATTCTTTACCACTCTTAGGGAAACAGACAGGCCAAGCAGCACTAAAATTCTTACAGAATTAAACTGCATGTGGTATACATTCCTTCTTGTCTGAGATATTGTCTGAAATATTAATTTTTTTCATCTGCTGTTTCTTTTAAAAAACCCCTCTACTTCAGAGGGTTGTAACTCCACGCCTTCCCTCCCTTTCATTGCTCACACTGTTTGCTGTTGTGAAAACTTTTTTTCCAAGAGAAAAGAAGAAAACCTGCAAGGGTAATACTGTTAACCTGAACACAGAGAGAGGTGAAGCTCATGACCTGAGAAGTAGTAGCTTCCAAGTGGGTTTCTTATCAGAGCACTGCAGAGGTGCAGCATACTTTTGAAGTAGTTTTTCAACTTCATTCATGAATAAGACCAGTATTTTTCATAGTTAAGTTACATATGAAAAGGTGGGTATTTTATTATTTCCTTTTTTCTTAGTTTTTAAAAGCTTGATACATGTAGTGTTGGATCAAGGCACACACAAGACTGGCCAAAGGGCGTACAAAGCACTTTGGTTTTTAGTTGAACAGAATGATTATTGCAACAAAGAGTGGCTTGGGGTTTAAACATGAAATAGCTTGTAGTTCAGCAGGAAGGCAGAAAGAAACATGTTACCTTACAGATTTTCCAAGGAAATTCTGAATAACTGTGACAGTAATGGGCAGTATTCCTGACTGTAACAGCATTATACTGAACACAGACTCATATATGCTTCAGATAGCTGCATTCTCCATTTGTCTGCTCACCTTTGGGACCACAGTTTTTGAGACCTTGCTTTTATTGCCTTGGGTTTTGTCCTGCTCTCTTTTCTTGTGAAACTGCACTTTCAGCCCTTTCTCTTTTCAAAGCAGTTTCAAAGTGTTGTCTCTGTCTTCCTGCCTTTGTCTCCCAAATGCCTGTGAGCATCCCTCACTATTTTGTCTGTAATATACAGACCACTGATTCTGATAACAAAAAGACTATTCCTGAACTGTATCTACCCCCTTGGTTTGTAGAGCCTACCACTTTATTTTGAATTTCTTTGTTAGGAATTTGATTATGTTTTCCTCTAGGGATTACAGGTTTTTTTTTAATGCTTGCCAAAAGCTTCAGTCTCATGCATATCATCAATTTGATTATTCTCATTTAAACTGGATTTCACTACTGTTGAATGGATATATCCAGACAGCTGATATTGCCCATTACTACACACATTTTTGTTTATTGAATATTGTTGTGGTTTACAGATTTAATAGACCAACACTGGAAGTTCTGTGAGTTTTTGTAACCACTTTTTGATCTTCCTGACTTGCCAGGTTCGACATTATTTTATTGATACCAAAGTGAAAAATGACCTGTGCTTACACTTACAAGGATCTCAGATGAATGTTCTGACTGCTCAACACGGCAAGAAAATTCACTTTCACAGTCAACAAGTCATCTTACTCAGTAGAACACAAAAGTTAAATGGTCTGTAACTTCAATATTAGCAAGGAAAATACAGTACAAATTACTAAAAAATACTAAAATATAGAATTGTGGTCAGGTATCCCCACTACATTAATCGCAGCAGTAGCCTGAAATTTGAAACTTTTAATAAAAAGTTCTTAAATATAAATTATATGGCAAATGTACAGTACATTGCTTTGTCAGTCTTTTAATCCAGTGTTTTGCAGTAGAACAGCAACTGTTAAGTCAGTCTTTTCTTGTTTTCTTTAAAAAACAAAACAAACCCAAAAAGCCCAACAAAACCCAAACCAGTCTTTCACGTCCCTCAGTATCATGAGTGTGAATGATCTGAATCTGGAATACCACTGTCTCTGTAGCTCCTGTTACTACTGCTTTCACTGTGGCTGTTCTTGTACAGATTCATGCCATTAGGTGGGAAAATGGTGTGTATTACAAATTCCTCCTTGGACACTTGGTCACTGGTTATTGGTATCATCTGGAAAGAAGTCTCCCTGATTTCCAAGATGGAGTTATCCTTCTTGGTTCCTGCTTCGGCATAGTCATCTTTTCTCCGGCGTCCCTTGCTGTAGGTGCAGTTCCGGGAGAACAGGGACCCGTTTCTGTGCACGTACCAGCAGACCAGGGCCAGCAGCCCTATGGCCACCAGCGCCACCACGCCGCCGATGATGGCGGCCAAGGGCAAGCTGGAGTTTTTGTAAGGTTCTTTCTCCTGCTCCCGGTTGAGGGTGGTGGTAGGGTTGTACATCTTAAGAGGCGCCGTCTCGGTCTCGATGCATTCGGGCGTTTCGTCGGAGAGATAGATGTTGCTGGTTTCCATGGGAACCATGCACACACGGTATGGTGACTCTGGTTCGAGAGCCGTGAGCAAATAGTCGTTTCTGTCGCCTGTAACTATAGTTTCAGTTATAGATCCAAAGGCAGGGCTGTGACCCATCTTGAGCCAGCTCAGTCTCAAAGCAGTCATTGGTAGTGCAACTTTCCAGGAGATGTGAATAGTCTCCGTGCTTACGGATTTCACAAATATTGTAATGATTTTGCGTACCGGGCTTGCTGTGGTTCTGTAGTTTTTATTTAGGTTGGGAGTCTTGACGTCTGGTTGTTTGGTCACAGAAATGGGCCAGTGTCCCTGGGCTGGGTATAACGTGTTTGGTACTGCAGTAGTGATTTGGATGGTGCTTATCACGCTATCGTCCTTACAGTCAAACAGTTCTGCACTGAGGTCTTTGATAGCCATTCCACGTACTTTTTCCGGTGCCTGACACATCAGTCCACGTACGTTCACTTTTAAAGGCAGTGACTGTAACCAGTCACGTACCCATTTCATTTTGCACCCGCAGTGCCAAGGGTTGTTGCGAAGAAAAAGTTGAGTGATGTTGTCCAGATCATCAAAGACACCCTGAGGTAAATTGCTGAGATTGTTATTGGACATATCTAGTCGATACAACTGCCGTAAGTAAGAGAAAGCATTGGGTGGCACACGGTTGATGTGGTTTTCTTGGAGATAAAGCTTTCTTAGGTTTGTTCCCGGCAAATTCACTGGTGCAGCTGTGAGTGAATTGCGGACCAATGACAATTCTGTAAGATTGACTAGATTAATGAAGACTTTGTCTCCTAATCCATGATTATTTAGAAGATTTCCATCTAAAACAAGGCGTTTTAGATTTGTAAGGTCTTGAAGGGACAGCTCAGAAATTGTGGAAATACGATTATCATCCAAGCGTAGCTCTTCTATGGTTTTAGGCAAACCCCAGGGAATGGTGCTAAGGTGATTTCGAGAGAGAAAAAGAAGTCTGAGATAGATGTTGTCCCGGAAAGCTCCATCCTCGATGCTAACGGCAGAAACAGAATTATCATCCAAATGCAGTTCTTCCAGATAAGGAATTTTTGAAAGTGAATCATAAGTAATGGTCCTTATATTGTTCTCCTGCAAATGCAGTTCCTTAATGTACTTAGGGAGGTTAGTGGGGAATTCATCTAGGCTGTTGCGGTATAAATATATTCTTTCCACCCTAAGCAAGTTCTTCAGTTCTGAAGGAATCCCAGCATTATTTATTTGATTGTTCTGAAGGAAGAGGGTAGTTGCATCCTCTGGGATTCCTGTAGGAATAGACGTCAAATCGCGATCATTACAATATATGAAACCCACATCACAGCGACATACTGAAGGGCATGGTTTGGCACTAACAGAATAAGGTGCCATGTCAAGTAACAGCCCTATTTTAGTCCAAACTAGGAAGATGCTCCAGGTAACACTAATCATGGTCAGGAATGATGAGATTTCTATACAGTTCTGATCTTCAACAATCTAAAAAAACCAAACAAACAAAATTATCCAGATCATCAGTGAAGAAACCACAATAAAAAAATCAACATTACAGAAGACATCTGAAACACACATTAAACCAAAATTCAAGTGCGTAGATGCATTTTACTCTCTTTTCCTTACATCAGTAATTCTACTACTTGTACTAATTCAATTAACTAAATAGGTTATTCTGCATAGTGATTGAAAATAATATAATCAAGTATGCCTGATCTGTGAATTATTTTGCTTAAGCAACAAGACTCTTTCTAAGGATTCCTTCCCATTTCATGTGTACCGACAATCTTTGTTCACAGATACCAGATAAGAACAGAACTGAAGTCACACCAGAGTTCAAGTAAATCATTCTATATCTGAAAGATAAGAAGTAATTCCTAAGCCAGCTAACTTCCTCAGGAGCCCTTAAGTGAACTATAAAACCCTTACCAAACCCACAAGTCTCGTGGTAGCTATTTCAGAAGTTCAAAAAAAGCCCCAAAAGCAAAGCATAAAATGCAGACAAAAGAGTGAGGGCCAGTGAAGACATTTTCCCAAGTCTTTCCCAGTGCTCAACTTCACAGTGTGTAACTTACAAACACTGTGCACTATTTTGCTTGCTTTTCAAGCTTAAGTGACTGCTCAGAAAGGTGAATGTTACAACTGGGAGGTAACTGGTAGAGCTATGGCTTTCTAGTTCACTGGATGAAATATTTCATTACATGCTTAATTTCATGTTTAAATATTTGTCATTCTCAAAAGTCGTCTTATTAAGTAGCACACTCATAAGAGTCTATTTGGCAGGTTTAACCACATTTTCTCATCTTATTACTAGCATAGTAGAAATTAACTCTTGAGACTGAGATTGTACTTTGCATTAGTAGTGTGTTTGTACACTGAGCTCAGGTAATTAGCATTTTTATAGCTTTTAAGACAACATAATTCAATTACCATTGTAATTAGGGTTGTGAGAACTCCTGCAAGATGACCTATGCATTAAGCGGTGTCATGACCTTTTCTCTTATGGGTTCATATATTAATTGAACTTTATTCTCAGAGGCGTGAAAAGGAAAATAAATTTATATTGATCCTACCGTATTTAAAGGTATGAGTAAATTTTGTGCTTGAGGATATCCAGTGAAGGGATGTCTTTCTGCCCAGTCACTCTTACGGTTTACTCCATGAAGCAGTTTTCTCTCGATGGTGTTTACTCAGATGGTCCTCGCTGGTGGTGTGTGTTTCCTGGCTCCTGGCACGATACTCAATGAGCATTCCAACCAAGATTTATCATGGTACATAAGCACACCAGGCCCCAGCGCAGAAAAGCTTCAGCTTCCTTCTATTTTAGTCCTCATGTAAAGTCTGTGAATGAAGAGCCTCTTTTGTTTGGTTTAATGCCTTTAGCAGGAATTACTTTCTTTGTAACTCTTACAAACTCTTCTGTGCAGCGTCGTAGTCAGAGGAGGGAACTTTAGTGCCGCGTGATAGAAACCATTCATTGCTGAGGCTCGAAGGATTGCAGCCTCTTCAGGAGGTCAGGAAAGGGATGCTCTTTCCTATCCAGAATTATCCAAGTATGACCTTTGTACAGTAGCTACATCCTGATACATCCACACCTTTTTCAGAGAACCATTTTCCAACTCTCACTTTTTAACGCTTCTTCCAAATTTGTAATGCAGGAAAGAATTCCTCCTGTGCTGCAAGAATGCAAGTTACTTTACCACAGAAACATCAGGCAATTCAGATGGTTTTCTTCATTATAAAAAACCCCCACAAAAATATGATTTCCTTCCCAGAAAACTGCCCTTTGAAAGCTTTCCTCGAACTCCTAATGTCCTGCAAAAGTAAAAACAAAAAAAAAATTGAATTAATAACAACTGGTGCATACTAGTTTTAAGGGCTGCATCCCCTGTACATGAGTAGCACACCTTGTTTCCCCAAGGCATTGGTATTTCAGTAAAATCAACAAAGCTCTTTCAAAAAATCTTTTGCTGTGTAGTTTCATGTTACTGCAGTTTTGCTGGAACTGTATTTTCCCTTGTTTCAGTAGAAAATTAAAGGCAGAGAGTAATAAAATATTTGTAAATTATGTTTTTCATCTGATGTCAAATGCCAGTGCTACCTCCTTGGAGGAGGCCAAAATGGTTGCTTGCTTTGTGTTCCTGGTAAATAGATGATATTCTCCTTGGTTTTAAGTGTAAAAGGAGCTACTTACTCTTCACTAGCTACTGTATGAAAGGGAAAGCATTTCTGCCAAAGTATTGTATGAATATATTTCCCACTCGCAGCATGTTGATTCTGAGCTAGGGACCAGCCAGGCATCTGTGTCTGCTTTTTGGCAATACATAGGTGGGTTTAGTCTGTAAAATTTCTAAAAAGAAGAAAACTGTTATTTCTTTCATTTGTATTTCTTACAGAATGCTAATTTTTTTCTAAACAGCATTTTTAACTTGGGCTACTTTGTATCACTACTGCATAAAGTATCCAGTGAGACACCAAGGCCCCCAGCGAGTTTGTAGGCAGCATGTCTGAAATAAAAGTGGTTAAATATGAAATGAAAAAAATCCTCAACGTGTACTTGCTTTTCCCTTTTGTGACATCACGTTTGTCCAAGGGACTGAGCACAATCCTTGGAACCAAAATACTTGGCAGGAACAGTGTGCTGAGTAATGATTGCCTAGCTGCCTTCCTGGGAGCAAAACTAGAGCATCTTCTGCTCCTCTGTAAAATACTTGACCTAAACACAAGCACTCTCTGTTTTAAAACTGTCTTTTGCAATTTGTTGCAGGTCTGTTATGAAACAGACCAGTCATATTCCTTACAGCAACACAGAATATGCAGTGATATATTTAAATAAATAAAAATTCTGCTGCTCTTTTTCACAGAAAAATGTTAACCATTAAAAAAAAAAAAACCCAAAGCCCCCCATTTGAGAGATGGTGTGACTACTAGTGAGGGAGTGGAAAAGACTGTTCTCTCCTGCTGCTGCTTTCATGCTCCTCTGAGCTTTGTTTTCAGCATCTTGTTTTCAGCAGTTGTCCAATGGAAAAAAAAAAAACTCAAAATGAGAGACCCCCACGGTGGCATAAATAACTATTTTTATGTATACTTTATTTAGGGCAAAAACACAATCTATGTGGCCATATTTCAGAATAGAAGGGAATGCATGTTTAGTAGTAACTTATGTAATTTGGGTAAATTATATAATCATTATGAAATGGAACAAAAAAGCTCTGTATTCTTCTAGTGTCTAGTTTTCCTGCTCTGTATTACTCAAGTGTTTGGGGAAAGAAGCCCAGGCCCTATTCCTAAAACTTTGAAATACAGAATGACTTAACAGCTGTAGGAAAAAAATTAGTTCTTAGGAACTAATGTGAAGTCGTGATAGAAAGTATTTTCTGGAAGGGTATGGTGAAATAGGAATATAAATTCCTTTAATAGGCCTTTGAAGGCTACAATAACTTTTAAGTACTTAAAATCATAAATTTTCTTTAGAACTCTGAGCTGTAAAAAACTTGTTAGTATTAAGCAAAACGTTGGCTCTAGTATGCATACATTACATAGATACATGCACACAGCAAGTTCATTTATTTTACCTTTCTAGCACATAAACTGTTTCCTCTGTGCTTCATTTGATAGTCATCTCTTCATTTATTGCCACTATTATAATAGCAGTAATGTGTAGGATTAAAATGAAAGCACTAAAGCTCATTAAGCTCCTGGAATTTTTTTTATCCTCTCTCTCAAAATTACATGAAAACAAGAGCAAGAAAAAGAAAAGGTCTCTTTGGAGAAGACGACACTGTTTCAAAAATGTGGATTAAGACTATACCCCCCACTCCCTTTTCTAAACTTAGAATAGTTTTCTTCAGGTCTTGATTGTTTGATATCTTGCACTTCCCTTTTATATCTCAAGCTATAGCTGAAAACAATGTTTTTGCATATCAAAGGCTCCAGTGATCTGTCTACAGAGAAGAAGGGAATCGTGCTGCCATGCTCCAACTTTCCCCTTCTTGAGCTGTCTCTAAATATTCCCTGACACCAAGTCATTATAGCTGATCCGGCAGGATGAAAAGAAAAGTGACCCCCACTGGTACAGACACTGTGTCCAGGTTTCTGCAGCATCAGACTGGGAGGCTTCATGGACACACGGTTTTGAAAGAAGCCATTATTTTTGAGCAGACCAGATTTTACAAACTGTGCTAATAATTTTTAAATACAAAAATCAGTCCTTGTTTTTTGGTAACAAAAGTAACATTGGAAAAACTGAACAGCAGCCTTTTTGCTCTTTATTCCAAGTTGAATGTTTTCCTGAACTTTTCTGAACCACGTGGTTAAATTAATTTTCCTGGGACTGTGTAAGCTAGTGAATTACTAGAGATACCAGGAACGTGTGGACCTTGCATGTGGACTTACTGCTGTGGTACAGCTAAGGGGACATGCAATTTTAAAATGTTCAACATAAGTTGAGCTATTTTAAAAAAAGTTAATAAGAACATTGTATTTACCCTGAAGTATGGAGTCCAGCTGCACTCGCAGCCAATGGTTTAACAAAATAAATAGTTTTGGTATATTTGAAAAGTTTGGATTCTTTCTAAAAACAGTGTCAAAGATTTCTTTCCAAGCTAATATAAAATGTGAATAAAATCAAGACCTGCCTCACTTGAGGTCACACAATGCTTATTTGAATTTCTAATCTAGCTCTGTGTTCTCCAGCAGTAACTCTGGTAGCTCAGTGGCTTCTTTCTTAACATCAAAGCAACAGAGGAAAGGGAAACGACTAGGTATTTTTAGGTTGTAAAAGACAAAGCTATTATTCAAAGCCACCACTAGAATATACATACTTGATAAGCCAATTTGCTTAACCAGGGTACTTCTATTCCAGAATTAGCTCTGTATTTGTTTAGAATCTGAAACATACCAGAAACACAAAATATGCTTATTTCTTAAAATACTTGTGAAGTCCATCTACTGCTTATAATGTCAGTTATGCTTACAAAAGTCATGCTGCAGCTTAAACAGCTTCACCAACTTTTTTTCTTTTTTAAAGAAGTTCCACAGTGCTAATCTACACTTAAAACAATGTCCACACTTTGTTTTCTTTAAGTGTATTACTCAGGGTTAGTTGATAGTGACAGCAAAATGCTTTCTAAGCACCCTGTCTAGGAGCTGCAATTTCCACGATCATCGGATTTCAGGAAGGTGCCCCAGCCTTTTGTTTGGCGCTAGGCAAGCAGAAGGTCCTCTAGCTGTCTCTCCAAGGGGTAAAAAATGCAAAGGAGTTTGTTAAAGTGAGAGTGAGCCCTTCAGTCAGACTGTAGCACTGCCTGTTAGTGAAATTTGTTACTGTTTTTTGTTGGAGATTTCATTCACTTGCAGAAAACTTGCTCGCACTTCTTGAGCAGTAGGAATAATACTGCTTGTGTCTTATTAAGTCTAACTCAAGTGTCCTAAAAAATGCAAATTTTTATGTGATCTTCCCTCAAATGCAAGTAAATCTGACTTAGAAATGAATTCTGAGTAAAAGCTTGACTCCACACCCAAGATCAGCCAAACCTGTATTTGCTGTAGAGGATGGAAATGAACTAAGAGTGGTTCTCTTCTGAAGTTTACTTCTAAAATGTTTCCTAGTTTTGAAGATGCTGGGTTGAAAAGACCCAGAGTATTACTTTATTCCTTCTCACTCTCTTGTTTTGACTACTCTGCTGCAGGAAAGGTTGCACGTTAATAAAACACTTTGTGGGGGGGTCTTTTGCAATGGATTTTTGGTTTGTGTTTTAGTTCTCTTTTGAGTTTAGCCAATTATGGCTTCTAGGTTTTCTTTCTGAGAGCTGCTGCTGAGGTAACTTGTCTGGGCATTAAATAAAAGAATAGAGAACAAATGCTGCCATTGTTTCAAGGGGAAAAAAATCTGGTTTTCCCCTCTTGACAAGTTTAGGTAGAATTATACCTGATAGGGAGTTTCTGGCACAAAATTCCCGACATGTAAAAACATTACTTGAACACTAGATAAAGTTTCAGTAGTTTTGTTTCTTTCCTTTTTAAAGCAGCTGTTTGCTCATCTCCTGATTACTAACTTTGCTCCTCAAAAAATTAGAAAAAAATGTGAAGCTGTAAGAATGTTTGAATTCTTACAGCTCATGAAAGGCAGAAGAGAGTCACGCCACAAGATATGTACTGAACACTTTTCAAGATTCCTGCCCTGAGTGGTATTTGGCTGCTTTTAAAAAGAAATGTAAGCAATCACATATTAATTCTTCCGTGCATTCCTGCGCTTTGAAGTGATTAAGGAAAAAACTTAAGAGCTAACTAGCCATTAGCATCCATGCTTCCTGCTAGGAGACGAAGATGGCCATCTCCCAACTGCAGCCACTTCAAATAACTGCAACTGCAAAGTTTGCAAACTCCAGCAATTGCTTTGATTAGTCACCACTGCCTTACACAATATCAGACAACTTTTAGCTACTGGTGACAGAGGAAAAAAAAAAACCCAAACCAAAACAAACACCAAAAACCCCAACCCAGAAACTCATCTTTATTTCGTTCTTCCTGTAAAATGTATCCACTTTATTTCTGGAGATCAAAGCTCTCTGCGAGTTTACTACAGAGTTTTTTGCCCACTGGGGGGTGGTACATGCTACAAAACCTGTGCTTTTAAGAGCCACAAGTCAGATGTTTTTTGCTGCTGTCCAGTCTTCTCTGCTTTAATTACAACAAAGTCTCCTGTTGAGAAAAACAGAGGCAGCTTGCAAAGGAGGGAGTTATAAAAAAATAAAATTAATCACTCTTCTAGAGAGTTTACAGAATTTCCCATGCTGATTACTTGCAGTATTTATCTGGTTGGTCTCCAGTTAAAATGGTATAAGTGTACAAAAAGGAAAAAAAAAAGAGAAATAGCATTTAAAATATATTCCAAGGGCTGTCACTGTTTCTGGTATACAGGAGGAGCACAGAAGACAGGAAAAAATACAGCTTTTAGAAGTGATTAAATGTGGATGGAAAAATAAAAAAGCTTGATAGCAGCATGAAGTAGGATTAGAATAAACCCAGTGTATTTCAAGATAATTGGCTTTCTGTAAACCCAGGTATACCTTTTGTTTATGAAATATTTGAAACCCTATCTTAAACAGGGCTGTATTGTATGGGTTTGGAATAAATTAAAGCAAACTTGAAGGTGGGTTTTCTTTTGAGGGAGGGAAGGGCACTGAAAGCTCTTGAGTATGACCTAATGCGTGGCATATATTGACAAGGAAAACACAGACTGATCTTTCTGTTTAATAGCAAATAATTATTTTCTTTATACACTTGAATTGACAAGTGCATTTTTCAGTCTAATTCAAAGAAATGTTCATTAAGATGCCATATCCCCAGGCAATAGATGGGGAGCATAACTGATGCTTCTATCTTTCTGGGCAGTATATTTTAGACAAGGAAATTGGGGTCAGGATAATGAACTGGTTTTTTTAAGTCTTATACAAAGAGGCTGAAAATGTTCAAAGATGTACATGGAAATGCAAAATCTTATTTCAAACAGGCAAAGTGAACATGCATTCAGCTAATGTGCAGGAGTAAGATTTAACTGTAAAGTAATTCTGCATTTTGGTGTGAATCTGGTGTAGAAAATACTCCACTGTACTCTGTTAACTGACCAGAACTGATCCCTTGCAGAAGGGAAGCGACTTGCCTTCAGCCCGAATTAATAACCCGTCGGTAACAGCATTCCATGAATTAGTTAATTACACACACTCGTCCTCGCGTTTGCAACACTCCTTGCAACTTTGCCTGGATGTGCCAGGGTTGAGCTCAAACCCCTTTGCGGTCTGAGAGATTAAAATTGAGGCGACCTCAAAGAGCAGGACTGAGCCAGAAAGGCAGCTGTCTGTGCAAGAGCTGAGCTTTTATTCACCAAGGGGATGAGCTTGGAAACTAAGCAGGAATCCAAAAAAAGAACCAGCCAACCAACCCCAAAATCAGAAAGCTGTGCCTGCTTGCTGTGAGCCATGGCAGATGCTGGGAAGCAAGACCACTGCGTTGGGAAATGCAGGAATACTTGGGCTCTGCCTGATCAACTAAGTTGCAGCTCCTAATTGCATTTGAGGAAAAGGGTTAAAACAAAAAGATTTTGGCACATCCAGCAGTCGTGAAACGATTTTTGAGCTCAGAATCACGTAGAGATGAGGTGTGCACCATAGTGAATTATTTATTTGCAAGCCATTTATAAATTAATTAGCCTGTACGAGGGCACACAAACACTTAATACACTGAAAACAGCTGAAAAGTTGATTAGAACTAGGCGAGGACCTACGGAATGGCAGGAGGATTAGCAGCCAGCCCTTCTTCCCAAAGAAAGTGGGGCGTCGGGGCGGGAATTTGGGCCTGTTGCATTCTTTCTGTGCAACCATTTTGTTGCCCATCTTCTCGCCCGCAGACTTTGTGGTGCGGGGGACAGCGCTGCGCAGGGGCGCGAACGCATCGCCTCGATTTTTTTTTTTTTTTTAATAGATGCAGCAAGAAGATTTGGTTTTTTTTTTTTTTTTTTTTTTAAATAGATGCAGCAAGAAGGGATGGAGGGAGGGGGAAGTTCCTCAGCCGTGGGAGCGATGCGGGGTACGCGCAGGATCACCCCAAACCATCCGCGTTAGAACGCGCGGCCGGGGTCCCAGCGCCGCGGGGCGCGGGCGCTGCTCTGCGGGTCCCCCGCGCCGCTTCCCGCCCCCGCGCAGCGCGGCTTTGCGCTGCCTCCTTCTCCGGGGGCCGGGGCAGCGCCGGCACCGCACGCCCGGCTCGGGGAACCCCCGGGTGCGCTCCAGATGTGCGGGCTGAGCCCTCTGCGCTCCTGCGCGCCGCGCACCCCGCCGGCAGGGAGGGCGGGCGGGCTCTCCCCGCCGCAGCGCCGTGCCCGCACTCCGGGCGGTGGTGTGGGGAGCGCGCCCAAACTTCCCTCCGCATCCTCCTCCTTCTCCGCGCCCCCCGACCCGCGCAAGTCCCGCGGAGGAGAAGAAGCGGTTACCCCGCGCTTACCTACAGAGAGGCGCGCAGAAGAAGGGAGGCGGTCCCGGCAGCAGTCCCGGCGGGGCCGGGAGCGGAGCGCGGTGCGGAGCGGGCGCTGCGCTGTGGCGGAGCGGCCGCGGACGGAGCTCGGCGCGCGGGCGGCCGCTAGGGGGAGCAGCAGGCGGCGCCGCGGCCCCGCCACGCGGGGGGTGCCGGGGGCGGCCGTGGCGCCTCGGCCCTCACGGGGTGCGGGTTTAAAACTAATTCTTTACCTTGTTTTTGACGTGGCAGAGAAGCGATGGGGCCGCTGGTGGCCGTGCCGGGAGCGGGGTGGCTCCCCTGCATCACTCAGTTCATCCCCCAGTGCTCGGTTGTAGGCTGGGCAGGTGATCCCGGTTCCCTGGTTTTGGGTCCAAGGGCCAGGACAGGCCGCGAGTTTCACGAAGGGGCTTGACAAAACCCTGTTTAAAACACAAATTATTAAATTTCCTCAGCCCCAGTCTCTCCCCTGGCATCTCCCTGGCCGTGTAAAGCGTTGCAGGCTAGTGCAGCCTTGGAGGATTGGAGGGTTTTCCCGAGGTGACTCCTTTTGGAATCATCGAGCGCATTCCAGTGCCTGGTTCCTGCTCCACCCGGGACGGCGCTCACCGGGAGATCCCTTATCGTGCCCGGCGGGACTGAGATTGACGGGGAATTGTGTTCCTGGCCAGGCTGCAGTCCTTAGGGATTTTTCCTAAAGTTTCTGCCCTTCAAACACAAGCAGAAATTTGTGGTCATTAAAGGGCAAAGTAGAAAACATCTTCCCCGGGCGTTTTTTCATAAAACCCAGTTTCCTTGACCCGTAGCTTACAAGGACACAACTAGCATTAGTTTTGGCAGATGAGGTTGATTTTTCTATTGTGGTTTTTTTTTTTTTTTAATTTCCCATTAAACGGGGTGCCTCTCCCAGCAGACAGCTGCTGCATTCATGAGCATCCCGTTCTCTTCGTTAGCTGTCCACAAGGGATCATCTTGGCCACCTCACGCAGGGTTTGACCAGCGTGTTCTCCAGCACAGAGCCAACGTCTGGGGGAAGGCAGACTCCTGAAAACCAGCTCTGCTCATCCTAGTTACCCTCCAGTTGCACTTTCTGTGGTATCAGAAGCCTACAAAACCCAGCTCCATTGATTTCAAAGAGGGCTCAACTTCTGTAAATCCTATAGAAACTGCCACATAGGTGCACCTTCTGTGTAAAGTTTGAATACTTCAATTGCTGTTGATATCTTTTGTCAAAGACAAAACCAGACAAACTTAAAAGTGTCAAACCTCATCCTTTCTCAAGAGGATTCCAATAAATTTTTGAATGCTGCTTGATGGATTTGATACTTAGATATATGAAATGTTATATACATGCTGTATTTATTCTACTAATTTAAAAAAGATCTGGATTGATCTTCCTTTATAAGGAAGGAAAAAGATTTTTTCGCTGCCACTTCAATTCTAATCTTTCCCTGAGGAGAGTAAAAACTAATAATAAATTGACTTCAGGTTAAGGTGCAATTGTCTGTATTGATAGTCCTGGCAGTGAGCTGTGCCCTAACCAGCTCAGAAAAATCAGGTGTATTGCATATACATCTTAATGCACATCTAGCACATTATAGACAGGCATATGGATGCATATGTACATGTATCATATGAGTGGTGATATATCTGGTACTAAAATGCTGCAGCTCTCCAAAAATCAGGTGTATTGCATATACATCTTAATGCACATCTAGCACATTATAGACATATGGATACATGTGTACATATATTATATGAGGGGTGATATATCTGGTACTAAAATGTTGCAGCTCTCCTGTTGTTTTTTGGTTTGATTTTTTTTTTAAACTGAGATTCCTTTAAGATTATAGTAGTATTTTTCAAAAACGTTGTGTATTTGGTATTTCTCAAGCTGTATTAGGTAACAGATTCCAGGGTTATGTTGCTGTGCCATGTTGCTAAGCCTTCACACAGATCTGTGGGATGCTTATAAAAGATGTATATGGTACTCATCCAGCTATCTCTCAGCTTAATTCCAAGGCTGGCCCAGTGCTTATGGCACTGGTTAGAAATTACAGTACATATTCCTAGAGAATTCCAAAGGGCATGTGAAAAATAATTACATTTTACCCGGTCACAGCTGCTCTGGAGTACTGAAAGGTCTTTAATATGCTGTTGCAAACAGATTTTTGACTCCATTATTTTATGTAAACTCCATAAATATACTTCTTAAGAAGGTAGGTAGCCTTTAAAATACTCTCCTCAAAAAATCTCATGTACATGGAGATCTTGACCATGTTCTCCATTTTTTTCTTAAAATGTAGGAATTCAAGGTATCTTCAGTTGCAAGAGAATGGAAAAGTTCTGTTAATAAGGATGGAGTTACTCATATGTTAGGAATAAAAATATGAATATTTAACACACAGGCATGTGTATATTCCTAGACGTGCCAAAGCCTAGGAATATAATGAGAGATTTTAATTGAATTTTTAAGTTAAAATAATGTTTTACCTGTATTTTGTTTATAGAATTAATTAATACTTATGACACTGAGATTAAAGTTCTTGTCAGACCTACAGGGAAATTACCTTCTGGAAGACACGGTAATCTTGTTAATGCTTCATGGGCTGAGAGGGTTTAAAAGATGTCGGGTGGGAAATTCAGAGTACTCACACTACACAATGTGTTTCACAGAATTTTATGCAGGTTTATAACATGCTCTTGTAAGGTGCTATTAGGTCAATGATGATGATGCCTTTTTTTTTTTTTCCTCCCCTAAGCATCCTGATGGTGTGATAAGAATTGAAGTTCTGGGAACTCCCTCAGCCAAGGATTGACCTGAATGACTCTCCCTGTGACTTGACAGGATTTTTGGATATGCTTTGTCCTGCTGTAGATCAGGTTCCAGTCACATACATTTCCGGGCAGGACATTTATGAAATATTGAGAAGCCAAACACCTTGACTGGGAAGTGAAATTGAATCTGAGATCACTCATCCTCAGTGAAGGAGAGGGCTGGCTGTCTTCAAGAATCAAAACTGAACCCTTGCTTTGTTGAGCATCTCAAGGACAGATTTCTGTCAGATAAAGCTGAGAGTAATAGTTTGATATTCAATGGAATAAGCTGAAATGAATGTTAGTGGGTTTTAGCTTCAGGCTCTTATGAGGTTATATTGATTTTCCAAAGCAAGCTGTCCCAAATCCAAGTTAGGCATAGGCTGATTTGTGGAGACATGTAAAGAAAGAGGACACTATGATATATGAACTTCAGTATGATGCATGTTCTGTATGGTTTCCTGATATTCACTAAGTAATGTTTCTCAGCAAATACATACTGCATTTTGCATTAGACTTTAGTCTTTAAATGATCAGAACCATTTCAGAATTAGAATCCAGTTTTGGATATATACCTTCCAAGTACAAATGTCTGTCAAATTCAGCTTTCAGCGCTGTGTATGTACATAGAGTACCTTGTCAAAGTTGGTGCAGCAGCTCTGTATCAAAAGTGACAAAAATGGGAGTGTAATCATGCAAGACAGTCCACAGCAGAGCTGGAGAGGTATGAAGAGTCTAAAACTAAATACTTGTGTAAAAGCAGGTGGGCTCAAGTGTGCTTCTTTCTTTTCCTCTGCCAGAGGAATGTGAGAGGTAATAGTTGTAATTGTGGTTATTTTGTCTCTCTGTAAAGGCCAGGAGGTTAGACCACTGTTCCTGTATTTTCTGCCATTCCTCCCTCTTCTCTCCATTGCTTTCTCCCCATTCTTCTATCCAGCTCTCCTATACAGCCCCAGAGAAAAGCCCTGTCAACTCAGAAACACTCGTGATGCAATCACATCTGTATTTTCCCTAAGGCAAATAAACAGCTTTGCTTGTGAGATCATGTGCTATGGATAGCAAAATTAAGTAACTTAATAGGGCACTTGAAATTGCAAAGCCTTTGAGTAAGGTATTTATTTTTTATTATTTACGGGACATACTGCAGTGGGTAAAGAAAGCTGACTCTGTAAAGTCCATTCTGGGAAAGTTTGCTCCTAATGCTTAAAGTGAATATTTGTATTTAAAAAGCAATTTCCTCTATTTGTTAGATGTCAAATCATGAAGCCACCATGACAACATTTTTAGGGGAAACAGTGCTAACTCCTTTGCAGCTATGAAGAACATGGAGTTTTTCCTTGCTTACTTGACAAAGTAAGCAATGCTGTCAGAACACAAGAGACTTTCCTTTTGCTTGATGTGGCTTTGAAAGTGTGTTAAAGGCAGGAAAAATAGTGTTCCTCCAAAACAACCTTGAAAACCTTAGCTGAGATTGTTAGTAATGTCTAGTGTGTGTGAGGAAGAATCCTGTGAAGGAAAAAACCTGCTGTTCTGCCCTCAGGGTAGTTCTGCATTTGCAAATTCACATTTTTATGGATGAGGCCTATACTGAGCTGAACAAAGTGGTAAATGCATTTTTACACCTGCCTCTATAAAAAGGGTTCCAGTAGTACAGAAATACTTTAAAAAAAACCCTGAAAAATACCCAACCTGAAACCTTCTGAAATGGCAAGGAAAAAAAAATCTGCTACAGTTTTGGTCTTGGGCTCTTTCTTGGAGCTTTGTTTGCTGCTTATGCAAGAGTTGCCCAGAGCCAGCCTTTGAGGACAGAGAAATATGCAAGGCAAGGGTGATTTGGGGCTTGCTAAGAAGGGGCTTGGGGTGGATGACTCCTTTCTGTCCATGTTTCTGTTTCGCTTGCTAATGTTGGAACTCATTGCTGCTCCTGGTGGTGCCTGTTTAGATACTGGTCAGACAATCAGTTGGGCAAAATTCATGGTTCTTGTCTTATATTCATAGGCAGTTTTTTATAAATCTCAGTTCTTCATAAGTTTATTCTGAAAGCTTGAAAGTCACATGCTTTCTCTCAAGTCTATTTGCAGGACATGAAAACAGTTCTTCTGGTCCTTTCTCTTTGTTTTTACTTCCTGATAGCCCCAGAGGATTTTCCGACTTTTGTCTGTCCTCTCACTGCACTCAGCCTCTCTCTGCCAGGCTTTTTGCATATGCCCTGCCTCTTACCCACCTCCTCTCCTCCTCCCGCAGTGCCCAACAGTTGTTTCTCCACACATCAACCCACATGGGAACATTCACATTCCAGCTTCTTTTTTGCATTGTGCATTTTTTTCTGCCTTGATCTTATGCCGGGAGAAGCTGCTTCTGCTGAACTCTTTTCTCTCCCTTACTGTCCTTCTTTGGCCCCTTTTACATGTTAAAGAGTTTCCTATTTTCTTTCCTCCTCCTATTAGTTGAGCAGTCTCACTTAGGTCTAATCTGGTAAAATTACAGTGGCTAAGTTTCCTGCACTTGTATAATGTATGATTTCCCCAATTTGAATATTTAGCATTCCTGGTAAACTCAAAGCAAGTGTATGGGGATACAATGCTGCTGAAGGCATTAGGTGGTGATCTGTAATCTCTACAAAAATGTACACCCCCTGCTTTGCAGGCAAATCGAAGCATTAGCACATTTATTTTGGCCAAATGCACCACCCTAGTTGTTTGTGTCTAGTCTGTGTTAACATCTAGCAATGAGCTGGAGTCTGTGCAT